AGATTGCGAGCTTCTCTAATGAGAGGCAGGTTGATCTTCTTTCACGGTCGAGCAACAGAATTTTGACGAAAAGACATCCGGACATAACGAGGGGCTCGTGTGTCGAAAGTCGGGGGAATGCACAGAACTACCGATAGGGCGGAAGCTTTTTATCAAAGGTAGCCTCATGCAGGCAAGGGTAAGGGAGGGTACATATCAAAAGCCTCGTTATCACAAAGAACATTCCTTTGCGAGTAAAGCGATAATAAGAGCGGACTCTCTCGTCTTTCGGGGACCTCCAATCTACACGACAAAGAGCATGCACGGTGGACTTGCGTCCCGAGGAAACCGAACAAAACGATCGTCACCCCGTTTTTCTCGTCTTTTTCATTTTTTTTGTTTTTTTTTCTTTTAAACAATTCCCGGTTTCTCACAGTACAAATCTTCGCCGCTGCGGTTTTCCAAAACGCACGCATTACGCCGGTCGATGGAAATCCAATTACACATCGTGTAATCGTCGCACTTCCAAAATCAAAGTTAAAACGTGAGAGTTTAAGGAGATTCACCGACGGTGCTAAATCGGGATTTCAGAGTGCTCTGATTCAACTAAACGGTTTTAATTTAAGAGGAAATACGGATAAATATTGCAGAAAATTCTCTCGATAGAGTTGCAAATCGTGTTGTAAAAAGAGCTGCCGTTTCCCCGATGAAGGGTTGCAGATGAATAAAGATCACCGCAAATGTGTGTTTCTAATTTTTGTTTTAAATCGTCAAATATAGTTTGGGAAAAATCGTTTAATTAGAGGTGTCCAAATAACAATTCACGAGCTTGGATGATTCTCATTTTGTAACGCTGTTGTTCGAATGCGGTCCTAAGAATTACAAAAAGCGCCACATTGTAGTCTGGATAAATTGCTGGTACACATTGTACATGCATGTACTAATGCATATTTGTCCGTATCGTTGAAATATTTATTACCAATGCCGCACCTGTTTCCGGAAGCATTTCTCTTTTATTTAGCTAGAATTCTCGATAAATTCATAGTGGGTATTCATCACATTGTCGCTGACTGGAGAACATTTTGAATAATACCAGCATGCGTATGAACGAGGTGCTTGATAAATATCATATTTAACAGGCCGATTTGAAGTCATTATCAATTCTGATGACTTCAAATAATCGATAAATATGGTATATTAATGAAAAGGGTAAATAAATCTAGCCCGTCATAAATGTACTTTATATGCATAAGGACGGTAAGAGACTGCGGTGCTCTATACTACTGTGCAGAAGAATAAGGAGAAACAAAAGTTTAATTGTTTATAAGCAATATTTTTAAAATACCCCTAAACGCACCGGCGGAGAACCACCTGGTTCATGTAATTTACGTTCCTGTACGAAAAAAGAATGTTCCATGCGTTTCTCGCAACATGTTTGACAGACGAAGCAACATATCTAGGCCCATATTGTATTGTCATAAACTTGTACAAGCAACTTCTGAAAAATATATCGAAAACAGTAGCGTGGGAAAAAAGACGCGAGATTCGTTAACGACAATCTCCAGTAATCAGTTCTTAAATATTAAGGAAAATTTTATAGACTCCACCGTAGAAGTTCTCCCCAAATTGAAAATTGCACGTCACTGATAAGACGGTGTTTTACAAGTGTATTATAGGGATCCTTTAACTACAGTTCCAGAAAGTGTGATAATCCGATTCCTGTAATTTGCAAACTTTGACGAGTAAATTTTAAGTAAAAAAGGAACGTTATCGTTTCTTAATGAATGGTTTATTTGAAAAACCCTAGTTATCTATTAGCTCTCAATGAACAGCCATTTCCAGTAACGTTAAAAATATGTTTTGCGAATTCTTTGATAGGGGAGAGATCGAAATTCAACGTTATTAAAGTGGATATTAATGTGTAATTAACAAAAGCTATGAAATTTTCGTATAGAACCGAATGATAGTAATTTCAAAATTGATTTTTATTAAATTTTTCAAGTTTTCTAAGTTTTGGCATTCTGCATACTTATTACACACACCATTATGATTTCTTCAGGTACGTGCAAATAATTCAAACGGTGGAGAACATATTTAATAAAAAACATTTTCATTTCCATAAAAAAAGCGGCTCTATCGAAAGAAATAGACAACGTACATTTCGATTAGTGAGGCGATTGAAGGATAGGTGTTCATGTATGGGATTTAATCAGGAAAAAAGGAGAATGTTTTTCAAACAAAAAAGGGAGAGTTCAGTACTTCGACTTGGTACTTTTCACACATGAACTAATGTCTACAAATCCGAAATATCTTTGAAAACCGTTTCCTGCAAGCTTTTCACATACAGCGTCTACTTTGTAATTCGTTTACGTTAATTGAAAATAAATTCATACTGCACAATTTTCTACGTCACTGCACGGCCAAAAAATAACAACTACCGACATAAAAAAGCAAATAAACAAATTAAGTATCGATGCCTTAAGATCGTAACGCAATGCATGGGAGGCGCCATTTGTCTATTTGAAAACATTCCCCAAATATATATTGCAATGCAAAAGTATTTCAGCAGCTATGCTTATAGCGATTGGTAAATACGATCGTTTTACAGATCTCGATTATTGGCGAAAGTGTAAAAATTGGATATTAAGCATTTCTGATCGATAGCCGGTGTAAAAGGGGATTCCTTGATTTTTAAATATATGACAGAGATAATGTACTGCATATACAGTTCTAATCTATACACATGGTATGTAGAGACTAGGGTACAAGAATAGTTTCTCCACCTTGTTATATACAGGCCATAAAGAAGCAGGGAACAATTACAACATAAGGCATTTCTACCTACTTTTAGCTAAAGCGAATCCCTCATCTTATTTCTTATGTTTACATCGTTTCTATTCTGTCTATGGACGAACCTCCGAACAACATTTAATAAATTATGCCCCTCAACAAATATCCTTATGCACTCGAATGTATGAATATATTCGAGCATATTAAGGACTTCCTCCCTGGATTAAAATAGGATTCTCTTTATCTTTTACTCTTCATGAATGATACAGAGCGAAGTTAGTCCCAACATTTGATAGAATTTCTTTTTGCATACTTGTCGGAATTCTTTCACTGCTCTCAGAAGGGTGAGAGACAAGAAAGAAGAGCGAAGGAAAGAAGAGCGATAGTAGACGAATCCGGACAGATATGGAGAGGAAAACTATCGCAAGAGTGTGGATGTTCACTTCATGTACCATTCATGAAGTGTAAAGTACACTGTTCACTAGGTACGTTGTTTCACCGCCAACTTCGGTCGACCAAAAGGTCCCATTTACCCGACTCTGGAGTTCCGCAAAGAACGGAAACCGCCCTTTCCCGTATCAGGGACAATAATTAAATTTCTCACCACTTCCCTTAATTATCGAATGGGACGAGAAAGAAGAGGCATTTAAGTGGTGGATTCAACAAGTAGGGCACAGAATGGCTTGCGGAAAAAGATTAAACGTTCTTAGTCCGTTCCTTTGACCCGAAGCTGGTTTAAAAAACTGTAATGACTAATTGAGACGTTAAAGTATTGTAGCTAATTTCAAGTAATTCATAGGGCGGTTGCGTGCAATCTTTAGCTCACAGAAAAGCCCAAGCAAGGGCTTTTAAAAGCACCAGTCCATCCAGAAATCAATGGGCAGGCTTTTCATTCATAATAATTTCTTAAGCAGACCTAAAATATAAGTAATCGATATCGATTTATAGTCAGTTTATTTCTTCATCCTAACATCAAGTACGAAGTAATCTTTAGTACTTCGATCCCCTACTCTATGCACGATCCGAAATTCCTTGTTCCGTTGGCTCGAAAAAATTATTCGCGATTTTCTAAAACACATACGAGTAATTCTCAGTTACTCAAATAACCGTAAGATCGTTACTTCCGAGATTCGACAAGAAGAAGCTCTCAGGGTAGGAATAATCACTGCAAACCCTATCTCCGTTGAGAATAAACGTTCACGGACCTCAAATCCTACAGATATACAGAGATTGCTCGGAACAGCACCAGTATAAGCATTAAAAAATAATGTCAATTCATAAGCTCTTGCATATAGTTAGACCGATTAATAAGAACAGCTATGGATACGTATGTGGAAGTACAAGGTGGTAGTAAACACCAGCTCGCGTTGCTCATTTTTAATGAGCAGCCTTAGAATCGATGGAATAGAGAGCATTACCGTAGTCACCGATCTCGGGTAAACTTTCAGTTTAATTAAATTTATTAATATATATATCTCGATGTATACGTGATGAAGCATCGGTATAATCGAATGTTCCCTTCTTCCGCGAATTAAAGTACATTTCTGTCCTAGGGGACATCCGGCTCCATTTCTCGCGGCTATGTCCAATGATTATCGAGGAGAATAAACGAGCTTTGGATCGTTCCCGCAAAATCCCGGGGACTGGTCGCGCCGCCATCGAAGAGAGAAATCTAACGATTCGATTTCGTGTCGGAAGTTGAAAGTGCACCCAGAAAGCTACTTTATATCAGCCTCTGTACCGCCTCGTGCGATGCGCCGTCACCGAATCGTCTCCCTCGGAACGAAATTCATCCCGCGAGTCCTGGACACCCGGAATCGTCGTTCCAACGAGCACTCGGCGAGGTGGACTCACATTTCCGTGGATCCGGCCAGCGAGGGATCTACGAGATCGGGTACGAACTACCGCAGGCACAGCGAGCGGGGGCATTAATTGCGAGGCGTTCCGGATTGCGACTTGCGAGAACGCAAAGCGGACAGCGGATTGAGATTCCGTCGCCTAGGCGTGCTCTCGGTAGACGAAGAGCCGGACTTCGGTTTCGAAGCTTTCGGGGCTTTCGAGCTACCGGAGGACTTGGACTGGCCGCCGGAAGCGGTTTTCAAAGGTTTCGGCTGGTTCGCGGCGGTCCCGCCGGTTCCGGAGGTCCCGGGGATGGAGGAAGTGCCGGAAGTACCGGAAGTGGTCGCGCTTGGGACCGGGGACTGGGACGGAGGCTGGATTTTGGGGCTTACTTGTACCTCGCAGGGGGGCGGCGCACTCCTGTATGACGGTACTATCTTGAACGTCACCGAACCTCGAGCTTCCCGCTGAAACAGAAACCTTCGGTTAGAAATCGGAGACCGACATTAGTCGCGGGATCTCTCGGATCCTCGGGTCGCAAATCATGTTTTAGAGATATTTTAATGATATTTTAGAAAAGAAGCTGCCCGACGCGAGCGCTCGACGTGAAACTTCTAAAGTAAAGAGAATAGTTAGATATACGTGTCGTTAATCATTCGCGCGTTCGGTAACAGTTGATTTAGGCAGGATTAATTTTATTTCACTGTAAATGTCAATTATTCGAATTATTAACCGAGAGGATAAGGTGAGGTACGTCGATGAAAATTTTTACGCGAATGGTGTCGATACTAAAATATAGAAATGGAGGTAAGGAGTTCACTGCGTTTCACTTTCCGGAACGGGTCCGGGACGTAACGTGGACATTTATATGTACCATTGTGTCGTTAGAAGTTTCGTTTAGAACATGTACGCGTGCAGATCATGCCGTTTAGAAATCATGGATAAATGACTTGGACCCAACCCAATTACCGGCGAAAAGAGTCGCGCCAAAGTTGTTCCGGATTTTGTCTCTGGTCGGCTCGAGATCAACAAGGCGCAACGTGCTCGCGACATCGCGGCCCTGAAAGCTCAAAGCTTCTCGGCAAGTTCCCGCGTTAGGACGGATGCGCGGAAATTTAATTCCCCGACAAAGAACGCCCTTCGTAGTTTCTTTCCCGCGGAGGAAGACCGACATCATTCCTCCTTGACGAACACCATCTAGAGCCGCGCCACACCAGGGGACAATTTTGCTCTCCGACGTTTTACAAAAGTTACCTTAATTAGCGGCAAGCGGGTCACCAAGTTTTCCGGCGTTACTTGGGGCTCCTTGCGGTGAAGTTTACTAACAACTTCTCTCGAAGACGTTTGTCTTTGCCTTGCTGCATTACCATACGAGATCGCTCGAGATGTTAATGCCTCGATATTCGAAATTCCCTCGACTTTATTTCGAAATTCCGGCTCAGGTATCGGAACAGGTAAAAAATGTCGAAACGATTTCGAGTTTACTTCTGAACGTTTCAACGATTTGAGTACCACTTGAGAGTCTAGAGAAATAACGAATTTCTCCATTCTTTTTCGTTGAACGTCGTCCTCCTTAAACGGAGCGATACTACCCACTCTCGTTTTAATGGCCGATTCCCCTATAAAGTTGCTTCATTCGATTTCGCGGATAAACGATATTATGCATCTGCGAGTATCGATTGCCGCGGCAGGACGTTACTGGACTCCTCCGGAAATGAATGAAATTGTATCGCAATGGTGTAAAGGCGGCGATATTTGCCGCGATGAAATTTCGTGGAATACGTTTAAGTCAAGATAAATGCAATTCTGAAATCTACGTTGATAATCAAGCTTAGAGTCCGTCTCTTCTTCGTACTAATATTTCGTGTAGATCGAAATGGTGTGAAAAGAATCGTAAAGAATTTAACAAGAATCGCGAGTATTCCGTGTCGATTCAAAAATTTCCAAAAGTCTACATTGTATGTCTACATTTTATGTCAGGACTTTTTTCAAGATGTTTCGTAATTCATCTTCTTTTTTTTCTTTCATTTCTTCGTGGAAGAATTTTTCGGACGAACATTGCAGCCATTCTAATTGTAATTAATAGTGTTCGGTTTTATTTTATTTTCTAGCAGAGATATCGCAAATGTGCTACTTACGAGAATCTTTTGCAAGGCATTGACCGACTGATTGGCAACAGGAACACCGTTGATTTCTCTTATCTCATCCCCGACGTGCAACGTCGCCTGTCGGTGGATCATCCCTCCGTGCATTATTCGCGCCACGATGCACTTCCCGTCCTCATTCATTTTGAGCGTGATCCCCTGAAGAAAAGGATGACTTCGTTTTCATTTCAATTCTTGAGACTCCTCGACATAAATTCTCGTTGACTCGGCGCCAACGCGAAAAGTTTATTTCTGAATGCATTACGTATATACACTTCCTCTCTACATCATTCCTCCAGGTCAGGAAAAAGTGTGAATGCTTTTTAAAGGAACTATATGAAAATTTCAAGAAAAATCATCCGATAATTACGAGGCGCTTAAAGTAAGTATAATAATTTAAATCGAGAGGGGCATTAAATTAAAAAAAATATATATGTTGCATGTACAATAGTACGGATATAGCCGTAATTTTTGCGTATGGTAATGTAGCATATGGTACCCACCATCGGCTCATCCGTGTTCTTCTGGAACTGCACCAGTCTGACCCGAGTGACGTTCTCCAGGTCTAGGTCACCATTTTGCCCTTCGAGGTCGTCACCACCATTCAAGTATGGTAGCAACGGAGGAGGTGTCACCCTTGTTGCATCCTCCCCGTATACCTCGTGGCCCGCCACGTCGTGGGCTTGCAACAAAGCCTGCAACAGGAAATAAAAATCCAGATTAGACGGTAGTAGGACGCCGAATAGCAGTGAAAACAATAGCAGAAACCACGGAATCATTACGTGTAAATTAATTGCAATAATCCTTCGCAATATGTAACAATGTCCCAATTAAAAGACGTAATAATTTCATATCTGTCCTTGCCTGTTCGTGTTTAAATATATTATATTTTTTCTAGATATTGGAACAACGACGCGATATCAATGAATAGAAAATTCTTGACGTCTAGCTGGAAAATTTATTCGCCTTAATTTCTTTCCCAGCCTCGACGTGGAATGGTATCACCTCTCGATGCACCGAATTCAATGAGGGTCCGGTTGTTTATTAAAGGCGCTTTTATGCAGGAACACCGGAAGTTCATCGGGGGAGAATCGATGACATAGTGCCAGCGGTACACCCCTCTTGCGAACTCACAAATGAAAAAGTTCCGTGTGGTCGTTATACAATCGAGTGCACGTGTATGTACGGAAGTATGTACAGTGGGGAATAAAACTAGCCGCAGACAAAAAGCCGCGGTTCGGGTGAAACACCACTCCGAGGGAAAATATATCATTCTGGCCACTAAATTGACTGAAGGTATCTTCCGTTTAGCCATGCCACTATTTCTATTTTTTAATCCAGCTGAGAGGAGAATTTTTGACTCAGTGTATTTGCAATGTATTAATACGAAAATTGGTTAGGTCCATTTCATCGACGCATCCTGGAAATTCAGGTGATACGCACAATTAAATGGAAGGTGTTCATATATTTGCGTATCCCAACTTTCAAGTCGAGTGAGTCAATTCCGAAGAAGCAAGTTCATTTATCCGTTTTCCCTTTCTATGGCAAGTTGGCTTTTATAAAGAGCCAATTGCATTGAAAACATTTACTTTAGCTTGCCGAAACAACATTCCTTGATGCAACTCCCGTGGGAAATGCATCGTTCGCTCGGGTGAACATAAACATGATGGGAAAGGGCTCTCGTTTATAACTTCCGAAGTAACTGAATGAGCGATAAACCAGTTACTCGAATTAACATTTTGTTTCCTGTAAACACGGCTAACCTTTTAAATTTCAACTAGCTGTATAGATAGATCAGTATAAACAGGTAAATGGCGGATAAATCGCCAGTCGCATAGAAACATATTTACGAAATCTTCGGAAGTCGACCTTTGTTAATAAACAGATACTGCATTTACGAAATGTCGATCCGCGATTGACAAAATAATATCAGCTTTCTCAATAATTTACAAATAGAAATTGTATGAAACATGAAACTTCGAATTCGTACGTCTTTCATAAATAAACATGTTATTTTATTCCGCACTCAGCAAATTGTTGTGAAGACGCGTCAAGAAATTTTGTGATGGCAACGCTTCTCGAATTTCAGAAGGAAAATAATCCCCCATTTTAATTTCCTTGTATAGCAGAATATCTTGTCATTTTGTTCTTTGTTACTTTGAATTACAAAGCGGTTAATTAAACAATAAAAGAGTAGTAGAAAAGCAGCAGTCGAATTTCCATTACAACGCGCGACAAGGAGATCTGACGACCTTTACGGGCTGCATCAAGATTGTCTATTCGTGAATTTCAATCGAAAGGAGTGGAACTGCTGATGTGAAGTTAAGTCCGGATCGAGTCTGGATTGAATGGGCAACCCTAAATTCCACCTACGAAGCTTGTCTAGTAAATACTCTAATCGAAGTTCGATCGAGTGCCGCCGTCAACCCGGGACCGAACAATTTCCTTTAGGAGCGCCAGCACCTCGGAGGGAAAATAACGTGGATTTTATTAAGTGTAAATGTAGATTGAAAGAAACCTTTTCTATTCAAAGCACGTCTCCCACGTATCCTGAATTTTCCCTACCTTTTAAACGAAAGCGATGCGCAAACAATTACTTTTGTTTCCTTAAGACCCACGAATCACAGAAGTAACTAATGAATCTTAAATACGAGTACATATTACGATTTTTTTCTATATTAATTCGAATGGATTACCGTTCCTTGCACATAACAAGAAGGTAAACATCCTTTAGATTACTCATTATCAATGCAAATGAATAATCACGGTGCTGAAAACATTTTAACTGGGTACCAAACTCATTCAACGAATCCAAGACACTGTGACGAGAAAAATCCTTACCGTAACGATATTGGATTAATATGAAAAAATACTATAAAATAGAGAATAATGTATGCAATGTTTTACGCGAATGGACGTAGACTCGTGGTTCAACCGTTGTGCTGGCTACGTTTGCAAAAAAGCGTTGCCGACCGGACGACGCTCTCCAAGTGCGTCAGTTCGTCCGGATCGGGCGCGAGGATCGTCCGATCCGTCAGAATAAAAATATGGAAAAATCCTAGGTAATATGTGGGGTTGAAAGATACCACCTGAGGTTAAATGACCTGAAAACCCGAGGAAAGGGGTTTCTTTCCCGAAGGACACATCCTGTGAACTCCTAGATGTTCGCCGGAGGCGATTTATTTGAGCCCCTCTGATAGCGTCTTCCACTCCTCTCGGATCTCACCATACCATTGACATCTAATCTAAATGCAAATGGCTGTCGCCTAAAAATGCAGTAATTCCCCGACTAACAGGTGTAAAGCCTAGAAATCGCTTTGCAGTCGCTCATCGCGCCCAATTGAGCTTGCGAGCTTTCGCCGCTCGGCGGCGACCCAGTACCTCGGGTTTGTATTCATAGACCTCGTTTACGGGGCACTTTCGATCCGAGATTGTTAAATGCTTCGTAAATAAATTGCGCCGCTATCACGGCGCTTTAACAAATTCGAGAGGACGTGTCAACGCGTAGGCGATTTAAAGAATAGAAAAAATAAAAATAAAATCGGGGATTGAAAATAAAAATAATGGACAGCTTTTGGTGGGTTATTGCGTAAAGATCTTCGAGTATACTTACATATAGAAGGTCTAATGCAATAATGATATGTGTAAGGATTATATGTTTAACTGTATATCGTTTTTGAGTGTTTTAGAGAATTTTAAAGTTGATGGATTAAGGCGTTGACAGGTTTAATTTTTTAAACGGTAAATGTAGTACTTCTTATACAACAAGATGTGGACGCGTACTCGTGATAGAGAGTATTATGTTTTATAGAGGATCGTGTCTCGTTTCTACTCGGACGATTCATCCGACGGAGAGCCTTTGTAATCCGCATTCTTGCTCCATCTTTAGAACCTCTGTAGAGAAATATTGGGAAGCATTTTGGAGAGGATCAAAGTGCAGTTGCAAGGTCCTTAACAATGTACAATACGCATTTTCCTGAGCTCCTCGAGCGGACTCGGAAAGCTCGGGAGCAGCCTTCATTGGTTCAAAGATGAGAACTTTCGGATGAAAAGGGTAGTGATAAATATACCTTGTTAGACGGTCACAAAGAAGCTGGACAGATGTAAGAAGTACATCTAATTTCACGGATAAATGCACATCAGAGCAAGAAATAATTCGAGTCAACTCCGCGATATCTCCTCTTCTCGTGTGAAGATATGGGAATGAAAACTATTAAATTTTTCTCGTCTTCTTTTCGATAGTGTAAGGGAGCATTTTTCCAAATGTAAACTGCTTGCCAGCTTTTCCACGAAGATCCCGACTTTTGTAATGATTCCGACAATTTCTAGCAACCGATTGGTCACGAGTAAGAGAACGAATTAAATGATTAAATGCTTTGAGAACATCGGATACATCTTTAATGCCGGTAAGGTTTCGGTTTCTCATTAAAAAACTTCCCGCTTCTTTTCATTAGCAATTTCAGTAACATGGATGGACTGCGATGAAAAACTTTTTCTTATCTCTGGTCGATTAGGTCGGCCCTTTTTGTTAAAGATGAGAAGCTTCCGCGAATCCTTTGAAAGTATCAGGAGTTTCAATAACGTCTCCTTCAAGAGGTTTCTTCGCTGAAACCAATTGCTTTCATTAATTAGTACGGCAGATTCAAAAGCGATCCGACAAGTGTCTTTGAAATTTCTCGAAGAATAAATAACTACAGCCCATGCAGCTTATTAACGGTGAGTATTAATTAATCCTCCTAACTATATAGAAATTAAATTTTAGCCGCAAGGTTAATCTTAGATTACCAAAAGTGTGTTAAGAAATTAAAAGAGAAAGGCGCAAAGTACATTTCTTTAAAATTTGTCGCTCGCCCAAAAAAAAAAATACATCGACAGTTAGGGCTCAGAGGGGAGGAATAAATTTTCTTCATTCATGTAAGGAGCAGAATTTTGTAAAATAAAATGATATATAGTCCAACCTTACCAGGACTACAATATTCTTATTGTAGATGGAATAAAAGTTTATTCAACCCGAATTTTTTATTCAGAAATGACATTTTTTTAAAATGTGATAATCGTCGAATTATTACTTTCCCTGTCAAGTGTTTAGTTGTACCATAAGCTCCGTTAATTTAAAGTTCTTAAAATAACAGCGGTCGCGTTTTGCTTCTCTTACACTGAGAGAGATGTGTAATTTGAACATAGGGTTTCATGAAGCAAGACTCGTTAGATGGTGTACTTAACCAGGAATTGTTTGAAGAAGGGTTTCTCTAATTTGAACAAGGGAATATTTGCTTCAAGTAAGAGACTGCAAAGCTCTAACAATGAGTTAAATGACTCTTACCTCTTAAAGTAAACTGTAAAGGGAGAATTCAATTACCATTACCAATTTATTGTTTCATAGTCTCGTAAAAAAGGATTTACACTTTGTCGACAAAACTGAACGTCATATTGAAGGTGTAAGTCGGGGCTACACACGAGCAAAGGTTTTTTATAATAAACTTTCCTCCGAATGAAAAAAAAAAAACAGTCCTCGGAGTTCCAGGCACGTCTGAGACTGCGGGATTTTTCGCAACATTTTATGGCATGTTCTTGGAGGAAGTTTTCCTGCCTTTTTCGGTTCACGAGTTAAACACAAAAGGAAAAAAACGAAAGAGCCCTTTTCACTTTGAAGGACGGTTTCAACCTCTAAGCCCGCTTTCCTGCGAAACCAAAA